TTGGTTGCATTTTATGCCTTTTATCCCATTAAGGTGAAATTGTTGATGCCTTTATAAATAGCGATAGGTAGTTAAGAAAAGAAGACTCTCCGACAACTATTTAAGTTGTTGTTAATCTCGTTAATATTGTTTTTATTAACCTTAAGAATGGGTATTGTTTTTAGCACTTATTGTCTTAGGTCCTCCCATTCGCGTCGCATACGCGTTAAGGCTTATCATCCTGTAGAGTTCACTTTTCACCTTGGAATTTTCCGAGAAGATTAAATTTTCTGGCATGAGCCAGAGAGAATGCAATGTTTGAAACGATTGAAGTATCGCCTAAGAATTCCATTTTTATCATGGAAGTAATTGATGGCGCCAATTAAAGCAAAGTAAAATTAAATTGCACATAATTGATGTTGAATTTAGTGCAGCGAAGGAGGAAAATTAAGTGAAAAGTTAATTAAAAGTAATTGGAAATTTTAAATATATAAAGGGAACTTATGGTAGACTGTCATGCTCTGTAAGATCATTTTTGTCCTTTCAAGGAGAGACTAAAGGTTGGTGGAAAGAAAAAATGCGCCTTTAACATCCCCCTAGGCGATGTGATTCTTCCTATGCAGTCGACATTGCTGATTAATGACTCGGGCCGGTTCAAGGAGGTTACTTCCTCCGATTGGGAAGTAAAGCAAGCCGCGTTTATATGCAAGAAGCACGAAGGATGAAGCTACACGATGAAGAGGAGAATCCCTTCAGTCATTCTTAGGCAAGACTGTTTCCAAATCAAGAAGGTGAAGACATCCAAATTGTGAATTGTGGAAGGTCAGGATGTACCATGTTTAATTGAAGCTATAGCAAGCGGCTATAAAGACACTGATGCAAATTTGACACTTCGAAACTCTGTTCTTGGAAGTGGAAGAGGGTCTGCCAAAAAAAACCACCTCGTCATTGCCTTTGGGAGAGAGTGAAGCACGGAATAGTGGAATTTGTTCAATATGTCTCCTTTCCTTGCAAATGATGATGTATGGGGTTAATATTTGTAAAGAAATTCGTCTTTAACCAATTAACACAAGGTAGGTCTCCTAGTTCCATCATACACATACACACACTGATTAGACACATTTATTGTTGCGCAAATAAAGCTTGCATAGATCCACTGGACAGTGTCTGTTGATTCTTTGTCTACTTCTGTTGATGCTTTATCAAGTGTATAGCGCCGTCGCATACGTTATGGTCATTTTCAGTCTGCAGACGTTCATACTTGAAATGTTAGACATGGAGGTTAGTTACTCGTCTGCCAATTACTCTCCACATCAATAATAGCAATTCTCCCACTTTTATCTGACCGACAATTTCAAGTCTTGACAACGCAAAGTATTATGGCTTATTCCTAATGTTCACTTACGTAGCCAAATCCTTCAATCTGCTGGGCCTTTCAAAGGTCATTGACATGCTGACTGCAAAGGGTGTGGAAAATTGTTCCGCATTTAGCACCACCTCCATCCTACCTAGGAGATTGAATTTAAAGCTTTTTTTTTCTCGATTCTGCGATTGTCATGGTGCGCTGAGGACAAAGCTAAAAAACAGTGTTAGTTGGCAAAACAAGGCTTTCATCCCACAATAGTGACAAGGAGCTGCAAATAGCATTGCAATACGCAGTGTGAAGGGACGACCGAATTTATCTATTCAAGTCTTAAAAGGACTGAAAAATAACGCAAGACTACAAATACTTGCGATCAAATCGATTGAAGCAAAATTACGGTAATTTTTGGTAAGTCTTAAATAATGTGATCAGTTTGGCCACATGGAGGGCTTTGATGGGTTCAAGCAAAACAGTTTACTTCATTCTTTCCATATGTGCGCTGTCATTATTGCCAAATACCTTGACAAATGGTGAGTGGACTGAATTGAATGGCGAATGCATTTGGCACTGGGTGGTGCTTGTACAGCACCACCTTCACGTTAAAGTGTCGCCTTGAATGCGCATGTAAAATTAGAATCATTGCCTCTTTTTTAGGCATACCTCATAGATCCCCTTCTATTATGTGATTAAATTTTGGCATTACAGAAGACGATGACACTGTTAGTACAGTCTGGAAAAATAACAACGACAACAATACGCACTATTTATATATGCATGTATGTATAATATACAGAGTTCAATCTATCTTTTCATCGCCTTCTAGTTAGCGGCATCAACAGCAGTGGGAGTGTCAAGTAGTACAAACCGGAGAACAGAACAACTTACACTTGGAGCAGTACTAAAGGACAGTTGAGGTGAGGAAAGAGGATAAGAAGAAGGAGGGAGGATAAGACTTTCCTGTCAATGGCTGACTTTTCGTTTTTCCTTAGAATATCACCCTTACCTTCAAGAGCGACGGGAGCTAGAAAAAGGAAGACTTTAGGCACGTTTTTGGGAGGGAATAGAAGGAGAGGTGGGAAGAAAGAGCGGAGGGAAAGGGGAAAGGAGGAAGGGAAAAGGGAGGAGAATCGGGTTGAAACTCTCCAAAATCGATCCCCTTTCTTTCATAGAAGTTTCTCAACCACCCACGTCGTTATCATCCAAACTATTAGTATGGCGTGGAGTAGGTCGAGGAGGAAGATTGGAGATCACAGCCTCACCAGCATCCACCTCAACAGGTCCGCGCAGATCCAACTTGATTGGTTGTTGTTGCTGCTGTTGTTGAATGCTGGGTGACTGGAAGGTGACTGTGGAACGACTAGGAGCTCTGGAACGGGGCAGAGAACTGATGGACGCCGAGATTGTGGTCTCACCAGCCCCGGGGGTGTAGCGTTGAGGAGCGGGAGAGAGATGGGAAATACGATAGCCTACAAGAGGACTTCGTTGAACCCCATAGGAGCCCCCAGTGTCGACGTAATCACCATAGGCAGCGGATGGAGATTGAGGTGCCTGCTGTTGTTCTTCCACATAGCAAGAGCAGCTGTCACCGTTGTTGTGGGGGTCGTGAATGAAAGCGCGAGGGGAAGCGTTCACCATACCCCCACCGCCGATACACCCGTTCGTGGGAACTCCCATGGCGCTGGCAGAACGCGGCCCATAGCTCATTCGACTAGCCGATCGATAACCTGCGCAGGTGGCGTAGGGGTAGCCAACATGAGGCTGGAACACTATCAGTAGATGCAAAAGATATTCTCCATTAGTTTTGAAATCGTCTAGCTTCTCAATTTCTCCTACAATGTACACCTCAGGAAAAACAAAACATTCGATTATCTATATGAAGTGAGGGAATTCAGTAAAATGTTAAAATAAGGAGGCTCTTATCCTCACGGATCTATAAAGTGATTTCAATGCCAGCCAATACAGAATACTGATGGAGGTACTGATACAGACAAAACGGGATAGTTTTCGTAGAAGACTGATCTCAGACAACATCGAGATCGACAGCCATCGTCGCATCATGCGAAGTCAGTCATTTCGTACTTCAAAGCGCACCAACATGACTGCCATGTCCACCACGTCCTTTATGCCTTCACCCAATGCCTTACATGACCGTCTCGTTTGTGCGGTATGAGTTGTGAGGGCAAAGGTAGGTGGAGATGTCTTGTCAACTGGTCGTTGCGTAGCTACTCCCTTCCCACTGCACCACCACCACCACCACCATCATTTGCATCAGCATCACCAGCAGCAGCATCAATAAGATCATCAGCAGCAGCAGCACCAGCAACAGCAGCAACATTGGTGTTCGTGCGGTGGATGGTT